GTGCAAAATACTAAATAACTTAATAAATATCCTTGGGGTTGCCTCTGCAAAATTTGGATGCCAGAGTTCATTCTAACTTTAAGTCCATCATACACATACCAGTAACCAAGTGCATCACAAAATATGCCTATATAGTGATTACCATTCCATAATGTGGCAGACTGAAGGTGAAATGTCTTTCCATGTACAGTTATTGTTGATGGTAAGTTATTAATGTTTAATATTCCAGCTCTACTAAGCAAGTCAACTGAAAAGATGACAATATTCTGAAAGTTTGTCATCGTACGTGGTGTACTTGTTCTTTGTCCAGCACAATGCCAGGAAACAAATGTGTTTCCATTAGCATCTAAAGTAACATCCTGTTTAAAGCTCACACCAGCAGCTGGTTTTTGATGAAACTTTTTCCCACATGTTGTTGGTTTAGGATACAGCCAGTCACTCAGAGAATTATTAAACACATTGCTTGTATCTGATGGGATACCTAGTGCTGTGCTGCAAGTAGCATAGCTGTTGACTGGTGATGGACAGGTACTTTCACTACAATATGTTGTCACCATGCTCTTTAGGAATGGTTGGAAATGTCTTAATAAGTAGTCTGCTTCATTTCCATAAAAATCAATAACACTTCTGATAACCACTGGAGTGAATGGAATAACTGACAATTTAGATTCAGCATATAAGTGCTGACCGATCAGCCACAATGCTGTTTTCATAAGCAAACCAGCCTGACCAAATCTATCTAGATCCAATTTTCCCAACCTCAGTAGCACTTGAATTATCATAAGCCAATTATCTAATGGGCAGGTATTAGCCAACGAAACACCTGTAGTAGTGGTTCCTCCCCATGGAATGATAACTATAGGTGGGCCAGGTAGGATTGGCATGGGTGATGGGTGGGAGCCAGATGGTACTGCTGTCACTGATGGGTGGGAGCTAGATGGTACTGCCATCACTGATGGGTGGGAGCTAGATGGTACTGCTGTCACTGATGGGTGGGAGCTAGATGGTACTGC